CCATGAATGCTCCTAAAGTGGAAGTAGTGGGTTCTTGCTGCCTGGGGGCTGGTGGGAAGGGAGCCTGGAGCGAAGCGATGGTGTGGGTGGAGGGCGCTTGGGCTTTCTCCCTTCATCTAAAAGTCTCCGGCCAAGTGAAATGCTCTTGCAGGCAGGAGGAGATGGTTCCTGAGGTGGGTAGGACAAGCTGATGTTTGGTGTCAGCCTCTGGACAGTGTGAGAAGCCTTGGAGTAGGTCTGCAGGTTGCCTGAGGCGCTCTCGGACTGTCCAGCCTTTGAGGAGGAGGTGGCTGAGACCTCCAGTTGTCTCCAAAAATGAGGTAGGTATCCCGAGGCAGGGATTTACGAGGCTTCTCAGGTCCTCGCTAACCATAACATTTACTTTTTTAGTGAAATGTTTGAAATATTCCTTCGCTTCCTTGGGCTTCAGTGAATAAAGCGAAACACGTCATGAAACTTGAGGCTGAGCAGCAGATGCTCTGTATCCCCGGCAAAGGGCAGCTGGTGGCCGGGGGCTGGATGCAGCTACTCAAGCTCAGTTGCATGGGAAGCATGTTTTGGTGAGAAAAGAGGTGAAAATGGCTTCGGCTCCCTTGTGCCTCCGCTGCAGTGTGGTCGCTCTCAGGACAGCGGGCCTGGCTCGGGCACAGCTCATGGCTTAAATCGCCATCCGTGCTGTTTTCCCTGTTTGGAGGGAAATACCAGCTGGTTTGGCCATCTCCAGCCTGGAGCCCCTGGGGCAGCTCCGGCTCTCCCGGCTCCTCTGGCTGATTCCTGGGGGCAGCTGGTGGAGCGTGTCCAGCTCTTTCCCACCCACACCAGCTCCCTGCGGGCTCACCCAGCGCAGTCCTCCGCAGCTCGCCGTGGCATTGCCGCCTCCGCCACGGCCTCGCTTGTGGCTGAAGCCTTGCCAGTCGTCCTTCAGGCTCTTAGCGGGGCCGGACCGGGAAGTTGGATCCCTGGAGCGCTGGGGATTGCGGTGCTGTCTGTCCCGGATCACAGACCAGGCGTTGCCAAGCTCTCGCCCTCTCCGCCCGGGTGCTGCTCAGTGGGTCGGGTGCCTGTGGGTGCAGCGTGACCCACGGCGTGCTCGGCACCGCTCCAGCGGGATGCGGGGCTGGAAGAGCTGCCCTGGCTGCGGAGGTCAGATGCAGCAACAGTTGTCCTGTCAGGGTACAATGTGGCAGGCGGTTCCGTGTCTCATTTTATTTCCATCCCTAGTTGCACTGTCCTATTTTCTCTCGTTTTTTAATTAAAGCAAAGGTTTGTTCTCCTTGTTTGTCACCCATTAACATGTGGCGTTTTGCAGTTTAAACTCGATTTGGTGGGTTTTTGCTCGCTAAGGATCTGATGTAACTTGGAAAGATTTGGGCTGTGTCGATTGTTTTAAGTATATTCTTCTTTTAAATATTTTTGTGCATTCTTTCGCCTCACTGGAGGGAAAGTAACGCTTCAAGTCAAGCTGCACTTTGAACTGCCTTTGGAACTGGGTTAAAAAGCCCAGGAACCACATTTAAAACGTTAAGATGCTTTTATTTATGTGCTGGGCACACACAAAAAGACTTGTAATGTGGTTTGGGTTTTTTTTTTTTTTGTTTGTTTCAAACCGATGTATTAAACAAAGAAAGTATTGACAGCAGTCAGTGAATCGAGGGATTGTTTCTGGGCGCTGAGATAGATTTACCCAAGGTATTTAGACGTCTGATGCATGGGGTTTTCAGAGCAGCCTAAGCAAGCGCTCGCCAGCGCGGACACACGAGGTTCCTCTCCGAGAGCCGAGCGAACCTGGAGCCGAGCCCAGCTGAAATCTTTTGGCAAGCTGCTGCCTCTCTCCTGCGCACGCAGAGCACCGGCTTGGAGGTGTGCTTCCAGCCGGACAGGCTCCTGCGTGTCCCGGGCTCTCGGCGTCGCGTTTCCCAACTCGCCTTCCCTCCAAAGAGCTGCTTCAGGGCTTTGGGAACGGTGTGTTCCCTCTCCCCAAAGACACCCCAACTCGGTCAGCGGCTCTCCGTGGGGTGCGGAGCTTTCCTGACCAGTGGTTGCCATCCCGCACACACGGCTCAGCCTGGGAAGCCGCTCGCTGGGTCCGTGGCAGGACAGAGGACAACTGTTTCCCCTGGAGAGGACGATGCCGGCATTAACCACATGGATTTGGGTTTCCCAAGGAGCTCCTTGCCTGCATTCCCTCCATCCCCACGTGGGCTGAGCTCGGGGAAGGCGGGTGAGGCTGCTCCAGGACCAGGCTGGCTCTAGGTTATCTGTGTTTTCTCCTGTGTCCAGTGGGACCCGGGGAGCTGCGTCTGCTTTCCCACTGCAGGGAAGGAGTCGATGGAGCTGTGGGACCTGCTCTCTGGGGAGACTCCGTGCTCCGCAGCGATTCTCCTCTTCCCCCCTCTCCGCACAAGTCTGCTTTTAAAAGCTACTCAACGAGTTTGCCAGGGCTGAGCGTTCCGTCCTTCCAGCCTTTTCGGCTGCATCGGCTTGTCTGAGGCGCCTGGAGCCGGGGCTGGGATCTGCAGGGGGAAGCTGGGGAGCATCTACCCCGCTGGGTTTGGGCTCTGCTGTCTCTGGGAGAAGTGGGAGCTGCCGGCGCCTTTCCCGGCAGGCAACGGCTGCGGGGGGCCCTTGGCAGTCAGACGGTGCCCCCGGCGCTGCCGACTCTGCTCCGTCGGACCCTGACAGGCAGCGTTCGGAGGGGCAGGGGGCAGGCAGTCAGCCTGGTCATAAATCTCTCTTTTATGCTCTGGATTATGAAGTAATATTTTCCTGGCCAGAGTTGGTTGGATTGGGGAAATGCGGGCTCTGCTGCGAGTTCCCTGCGGCTGCCGTCCCGGCACAGCGGGAGCTTGCACGTCGGCTGTCCTGGGATGTGCTGCTTCTCCCACAAACACCCTCTATCCCCACAGTCTCTCCATGAATCCTACAGCCTGGCATTCCTCCTGGAGCTCCAAAAAAGCTCTCCAGCCACCCGGATCGGGCTCAATCCTGTTCTGCACTCACCGGAGCCTGGCTGCAAGCATCCTACCTCCCCGAGGGCAGCGCCTGCTCATTCATTGCAAAGGCAGCCTAGCTGGGACGCTTGCCCGAGCGCAGGCAGCTAGCACGGGCCCTGGCAGCGGCACAGGTTTCGTGTGCCACGGCTTCTTTGTCACGGGAAGGAGTGTGCAGCGTGATGCTGGAGAGCCTGGCCGTGGAGAGGTGAAGCCGGCTCCTCAAGAGGGACTCGCTCCGATCTCCGGTAGCTGAAGAGGTGGTAGCATGTGCAAGGAGGAAAAGCGAGGCCTTGTAGCTGATGTGGACTGTAACGTGTTGCTGGCCCCAGAGGGTTATTTTGAAATAGTGCAGATCACCAGCGTTAGTGCCTCTCGCAGAGTCCAGCCAGCGGTCGGAGCAGCCTCGGCTTTGTGCCGTGCTTGGTTGTGCGTTGACCCCAGCGGGAAGGGTGCCCTGGCTCCCTTTGCCTCCTCGCCTCCCTCTGCGGAGGCTCCAGCAGCCCTGAGAAGCGCTTTTTCTGCTCGCTAATAGTTTTCAGATGAGACTCAAGAGTTTGAGCTGGGTTTGGTGGTTTCTGGGCCAAAACAGCTCAAGCCATTAATAGGACCTGCAGCATTTCAAGCAGGCCTAGGGTGTCCCTGGGAAGGCTGGTTTTTGGCTGCTCTGGTGCCTTGTAGGTCTAGTCCGTGGTTGCGGGAACTGGAACGCTGAGATTTGCCTGGGGGAGGTGGAAAACTGGCCCGTGCAGCCGGGAGGGGATGGGAAAAAGAGGACGTGCTTGGCTGGTGGGAATGCCTCAGCTCATACATCCCTCCAACAACATGTTATAACCCAGGTTTGTTCTTTTTGGTGGATTTTCTGGGCAGGGCAGGCAGCATATTCTTCAATTTCTGTCTGAATAGCTGAAAGGCAGTTAGCAGCTTGAAGTAGACTCGAAGGCTTCTGAAGATGATTTTAACTGGTCTCACCTCCGTCTCTTCGAAAAGAGCCCGTGCCCGCACTTGATGCTGTCGCTGCTTTTGAAAAGTTCAAGAATGTACTTTGCTCAGAGCAAAGCTTTGAAGTGCTGCTCTGTGGGAATGGCAGAAGCCTTTCGCTGAAAGCTCGGTTAACCAAATTTGTGGGCAGCTACCTTCAGAAAATTGACTTTGCGGGGGATTGCATGAGGAGACGGAAAGGTGAACTGTGAGATTGTGATCGATTTCACAAGAAAAGGTTGAATCTGCTTGTTTTGCTCCTATTCAGGGCCTCCAGCTGGTGGTTGCACCCTTTTCTTTATGCAAAAGTTCCTGCGTAAAGGCTGTTTCGCCCCGCTTGTTGTCCTGTTTGCGTAAGTGCTGCGAGGAGGGTGAGCTGAAGAAGCAGGAGTGAACCTCCGTAGGATGCAGAGCTGGTGCCTGGTTGCAGCAGAGGGGAGGTGGCGTTCCTGCATGCAGCCACCCTCTTGCTTTTTTGGGAGTGTAGGTTGGGGTTTAGCATGTCCTGGTTGGAGCCGGGGCTCAGCGTCAGCTGGCAGATCACAGGGAAACACGTCCTGTCTTGCTCAGTGAGCCCCTAGTTTGAACCTTGGCATCTCAGGGGGGTGCCAGGCTGTGCAGTGACGGATCTTCTTCTCTTTGCAGGCGCTGGGAACGGAGACGTAGCACGCCGTGCCGTTCCGAGCTGGAAGCGTGCCGTGCTTTTGCCCCACAGACTCCAAGAAACCTTCCTTTTTGGTGAAGCAGACCCTGATCTCCTGTTTCTTTGCTGCATGCCCGCTCACAAGTGCTGGATTATGTTTGTCTCCTTCTCCCTTTGTTCCATAATTTGGTTGAATCGTGGTTTCAAGCTAAGGAAAAGGGGCTGCACCTAAGCGCGCCGGGGCACCCGGACCAGGCTCCTCGGGTGCTGGTTCACGCAGAGACGTTCAGAGTGCTGATGGGGGAGAGCTGCCTCTGAAATCCCTCCTCTCCTATCCAAAACGTGCCGCCGCACCACTCGGAGCCCTTCTCCCCATGGCAGAGAGGATGGGCAGCACCGATGGGTTCCAGTACCGTGCGCTCTACCCCTATCGCAAGGAACGCGAGGAGGACATTGATCTGCTGCCTGGGGACATCTTGGTGGTGAGCAAAGGGGCCCTGCAAGCCTTGGGCTTCAAAGATGGGGACGAGCAGACCCCCAATCAGATTGGGTGGATCCTGGGCGTCAACGAGCGGACCAAGCAGAAGGGTGACTTCCCCGGCACGTACGTGGAGTACGTGGGACCCGTGAAAATCTCCGTCCCTTCTCACCGGCCCCGAGTGCAGAGACCCCTGCCCGCAACGCCGGGAGCCAGCGGCTGGCGGCCGGCCGGAGCAAGGTGAGTGTTGCTGCGTGCCTTGTTGCTCCCAGACCCTTTCACTCTGGCCTGTGAGGGACGAGGATGCGTGAGCAGCTTTGCAGGACAGCGGTGAAGCCCTCGGCCGGGCAGCGCTGGATTGCCTTGATGGGCAATCACTAAATTTTGGTGGCCCAGCAGCACCATCGAGTTGCCAGGGGCTGTGAGTTCCCACTCAGTCCTGGCCAAGAGAAAAGCACATTGTTCCTCCAGCTTATCCATCAGCTTAGCAGAGCGTCTTGGAGCGAGCCTTGTCCCACTCTCACCTCGCCACGATCCTTCTCCATCAGCAGCCTGTGACTAGCCAGGATCCCTGAGGTCCCTGATCCCTCTCCCTGCTCCACACTGCTTTGGGTTTTGTTCCACTCCCTCCCTTTAGGAATAAGTCCCGAGCTCTCCCAACCACCTCCCCGCTTCTGCCTCTGGAGCGCCTGGGGCATTGCTCCCTGCCAAGAGCCGCTCAGCCCTGCTGAGACACACAATTACTTGTCTCTGGGCAAGAGGAGAAAAGTCAGGGTCTAAAAGAGTACTTCCGAGAACTGGAGCTAATTGCTTGTCTGCCTGGCACCCGGCCCTCCCCACGGATTGGCCCTCCCCATGGAATCACAGAGCTCTCGGGCAGGGCACGCGCCGCCCCGCACCTGCGGCTGCCTCCCAGCCGGCACTGGGCTTGGCATGGGCCCGCTCCGGGAGCTGGGAGAGCCGCTGAGCCTCAACGCTGCCTGTAGGGCCGCAGCAGCTGCCTTCTCTTTGCCTGTTTTTGCTCGCAGGCCCTGTGGCGTGGGCTCAGGAGGCTCCGAGCACTCCAAGATGGTAAACAGGGGTGAAAGCTGCACGTCTCCCGCCTCTGCTCCTCCCGTGCCCCATGGAAAACCTCGTGCTGGTGCACACGGGAGGAGTAGGGTCAGCAGCAGGAGCTGGTGGGCATCAAAGCATGCTCCCGGTCCTCCTCATCCCTCTGCCTCGGTGCCACAGCTCCTGTTTGCACAGCTGAAAGCATCTGCCATCTCTGGGGTCTTAAGGAATGGAGAGGAGGCCCCGTCTCAAAAATCAGGGTGGTGGGGCTGGGTGTGGAGCTCCCCACAGCTGCCTCCCGTGTTCCCAGAGCCAGAGGGGCGGCCCCAGGAAACATCTCCGCAGGGTGGGAATGCGGCTGGGCCATGCGTTTGGGTTGGCAGCGAGAGCCGCTGACCTGAGTCATCCCGTTCGCAACCTGCCTTTCCAAGAAAGCAGCTCCTCTTGGGAGCCTGGGGCATGCTCTGCGGTGGATGCGTCGGCCTCGCCTGCATCCAGCCCCGCGCTCCCTCCGGGGCTGTATTTATGCTTTTGTGGGCTCCCTCCTCCTCCTTTTCTCAGGTGGGGTTTGTCTGGGTGGGCAAAGCTCTGCCCTCCACAGGCATGGGCGTCTTTGGGATGTGGAAGGAGATACCTGCCAAAGCTCCCGATGCACAGAAAAGACGTGATTGGGAAAGAAACCAAAAGCCAACCTGTCTGCATCCCGCCCAGGGACAGAGTAGGGAGAGGGTCCGGTACCAGGGCAGGCGGTGGGTGTGCCAGCCCTGCGCCCGGCCCCTCTGGGTGCGAATCCCACTCCCCCAGCCGCCACCTCGGCACTGCCAGGTGGCCACTCGAATGCCGTTCTACACGCAGCCGGCCGGGATGCCAGTGGGGAGACACATTTTTGCAACTGAGAAACTGTATTTAAGCCAATCCCGTGTTATTCCTTCATGGTCTGCGCTTCGGGAGGTGCAGGGATGTCTCCTGGCTGCCCCACGAAGCTCACAGCCGGCAGCATTTCTGCTCTGTCCCGTGTCCAAGCTGGCCGGGATCCCTTAGCTCCCCGGTGTCACACGCAGAACAGGGCCAACGCCAGGGCCATCACGCAGCCCCGGGAGCCGGGCTGGCCTCGCAGAGCAGCGAGACCCAAACCCTTTCTGCTGGTGAATTTACGAGCTGCTTGGTGTTTGCCTTCCGCAGAGAACGCGAGCGGAAAATGTGGCTCGGAAATATTTCCGCAGCTGCCCCGACCGTGCTGTGAGCAGCCTTGTTCGCAGCGGCCCAGCCCGGAGGCCCGGCAGGCTCAGGACCCGCTGCTGGCTCCGGCACAGCCTGCTTGATATAAAAAGGCAGGCTGCTGCCTGCTGAAGCAGCACATTCCCAGCCGGGACACGTGGGCAGAACCAGTATTTACTCTCCCTTCAGCCCTTCCCAAGGGTCAGGCTCCGAGCTGCCAGCCTGGCAGCTTGCCTGCAGCTTCCTCATCCCAACCAGCACCGCGCTGGGCCCCTTCCCCTGCCCGGGGGCTCTCTGTGATGGGGGATTGTGTTCCCCCCCAGCAGCACAGGCCCTTGCAGAACTGCTGGGTGCCCGCTCCCTTTTGCGTGGCGGCTGAGCGGAAGGCTGCCTGTCCCCCTGCGAGGCCGTGGGTGCGGGAGGCTCAGCCGGGTGCGGAGTTCCAGCTTGCTGCGCCTCGCGGAGAGACCGCACCGGGCGAGTTCGGGTCACGTCCCTGACAACAGAGCCCTGTTTCGCAACGGGGAGCAGCCTTTTGGCTCTGCCTTCGCGGAGTGGAGCGTGCTGGGTGTCTTCACTGACCGTGGGCTCTCCCGGGGTCTGCCTGGTGCCGTGGACTGGCCCGGAGGAGCCTCCTGCACAGGCTGCTGCTCAACCGGAAGCAAGATGGAGCCTGGAACTGCTCAGCCTTCGGCAAATCTCCCGCTGGCAGCTCCCCGGCCGGGCCTGCGTGCTCCTGCCCCGGCATGCGTTACCCTTCCAGCATGGGGAAGGGGTTGCCCAGAGCTGGGACCTGGAGATCTTCTGGAGGTGGCAGTGAAATGCCACCCCCCGTGCCATAGATTCCCCTGGGAAGGGGTGGGCATCCTGGTCCCGTGCCGTGGGCTGTCTGTGCCCTGTAACAGCTTGCACGGAGGCTGCGGGCTCGCGGGGAGGGGGAGGCAGAGGGCTGGTTTCCATGTTAAACGAGCAATCAAGGGCAGGAATTTGCTGACACGGCGTTCTGTCTGAATCGCTGGATTAATCACAGCTCACCACCGAGCGAGCTCCCTGGCTGCACTCCTCCGCCAGCTCTGCCTGCACCGGGCAGGGACCAAGCCTGAGCTCCCCGAGCCCCGGTAACCCTTGCGCTGCCTGCCTGGGGTGCTGGGCCCCCCAGGGAGCAGTAGGGACCCCCCAATGCACACCCTTGCAGAGCAAGACCAGGCTCAGCAAGTGCTGTGCCGGCGTCTGGGACAGCTCACAGGTTCCCCACCGTCCCCATGTGTGGGCTGTGGCCTTGTGACGGGGACCACAGCTTTCCTCGCTTGCTGTTGGTTGTGTCCCGGCCTGGCTTCGCTGCAGAGCATCTGCTGGGGGGGGCTGAGCTGGGGCTGACCCCCTCTCTCTCCTTCCCTTTCCCCCAGGCTCTCCTCTCCCGGACTTGCAGGAACAGTTCAGTCCTCCCGAAATCGCACCACCGCTGCTGGTGAAGCTGGTGGAAGCTATTGAGAAGAAAGGTAAGAGGGGGATGCTGAGAACCGAGGGGCTGATACCCCCAAAACCCTTCAGCGAGGGCAGGGGAGAGGCAGCTCTCCTGAAGAGCTGTTGGCATTGGACTGAGTTCCGTGGGACATGCAGGACGCAGCCAGGCCCCCGCTCCTCCCTGGCTTAAGCCGCCGTCCCCAAAGCCAGGCTCAACCCCCCTGCTCCGTCCTGCACAGAGCCCTGGGGCGTGGGCGCTGGGTCTGCACGCAGGATGCCCACGTACCCTGGATGGGTGCTGGGATTTGGGGAGCGCTTCCAGCCTGGATCTGTGCCGTGGGGGAGAAAGGGGGCCGAGGGGGCTGCGGCAGCATCTGCAGG